CCCCCCCCCCCCCCCCCCGCCTAATTTTTTCTTCCTGCATCTAGGCTCGAGAGTTCAGTATAATGTCACTGACAAGATAAAATTATAAAACAGTGCTAAGAGTTGTGTGCATGGGAAGTGTTTATAATGATGATGGACACGTTGCCTTAGTCTTCATGCATTGTTGGTATTTAGATGCCTCTAATAGTTTGATCAATATGTCTCGGGATCATATCCGGTTACTATAATGCCACAATCAGCAATTTTTATTTTTTATTTTTCAGGTTGGTTCACTTGTGCTTGAATCTCTATCACTTCTTGGTCACTTTGCGTTGTTTCATCCTGGAAATCAAGCTGTCCTTCGATGGGGAAAGAGTCCCACTATCCTCCATAAGGTCTGAAACTCTTAAATATTTAGGAAGTTTTGGTTTATTTGTTCTATTTATTGAGATAATCTAATATTCATCTGTAAAAGACAGGTTTGTGATCTGCCATTCGTTTTCTTCAGCGACCCGGATTTGATGCCAATCTTGGCTGGCACATTAGTTGCCGCATGCTACGGGTGTGAGCAGAACAAGTTTGTAGTTCAGCAAGAACTGAGTGTTGACATGCTACTTTCCTTGCTAAGGTCTTGCAGAAATGCTGCGTCTGCAACTCAGCTTAATTCAACCATAGACAATTCCACAACAGACGAATCTAGTGAATGTAATCAATTAGGTACTGAAATTAGAAAGCCTCAAGTGGACGTTCCTGTAAAATACAGCCGTTCCAATGGCAAAAGCACTCGGGCTTCCTTGGGGAAGAGTGGTGCTTTGGGAAATAACGTAAAAAGTGGCAGAATAAAAAACTTACGGGACGGCAAAACAACCAAGATTCCTGAAGAAGCGGCTCCTAAGAACAGTGAGCCTTCGCACTTAATGTTGCACTGTAGATTTCCTCCCATCTTCATCGATAAGGTAGAGCAGTTCTTTTCAGCGGAAATTGCTAACGGGATTGATGAACTCTGAGGTTAAACATTGTGAATTCATTTTGATCGATAATTCACGGAACTTGACGCGTTAACTGATTATGTTTCTTTATACACGTTTCACACTTCTAATCCACGGAACATCCGAAAAGCTGACGTGTCTCTGAAGATTAACCTGTCCGAGTTATACATCAAAGCTTGTTTTTAGGCAATGCCAAAAATATTGTACTTTATGTGAAATAATATATTTCGTAGTACGGGTGGAGCATTCTTGTAATATATAAACGATAGAGAAGTGGCTTATGATAATAGCCACCGTTACCACTACTGTAATTATAGCCGATATGTTTCGGGGTGTAACAACCCCAGCTATCAATTTGTCTTATTGACTTCAAGCCTACTGAATTATCGATCTTTTGTTACAGTGAATTTTACAACTCAAAAAAACACTTTCGATTTTTTTTTTACTATTTTCACGGCAGAGATGAAAAGCAAAAAGTTAAAAGAAACTTACGAGCTAGCATGGTTGTATTCATGCAACTCGATTTATTTAATATATTACTGGAGAAGCCACGTCTCACCCAGCCTGTTAACGTGCCAATACACCCTTCCGTTACGAGGGAAAAAAGGAATAGTTGTAGATTATGGGCAAAGTTTCTGTTCTGATTTCTGATCATCCAAAATGTCTCAAGACTGAAAAGTTGGTTTTGTGCCAAAGATGTCTTTATAGCCAGAAGCAACCATGCAGCTAAAAATGGTATCAAGTTAACGATAGAGGTTTATGTGCATGTGGGTGTAGTTTACGGAAATGGAAAAGAGAAAGAGACGATACTTTGCATCCTCCGGAGGTGCTTGTAAAGCCTGTTTTGCTTTGCTTGTCTGCATCTGCTCTGGATCCTGGAGGCTGCTTTCGTATAAGGCCTGCTCTCAGTTCATCTTTTGCACAATCAAACGGGTTGGAAATTAGAAGTTCAGACAAACAGAAAAGTCTATCCAGATTTCAGTTTCAGGGAATGGAAAATAGACTGCACCAAAGAAGGTATTTGGTTGCTAACTAGAATTTGTGATGCCATTTGTTGTTCATCTTATTTTGGCTATCTGTATGCTGCAGTTTCGTTCAGAACCGTTTCTTACAACTTGGTTGTGAAGTGTTTCACTTACAAAGCATTAATTTGGTTTCCTGCCAATTACATCACTGATTAATTGCTGTTTATTTTAGAGTGTCATTTTCTGATCAACATTCACCAAATCATCATGGGTCCAGTGGCATTAGAAATGACAAGGCTTGGAACTGGCTCCCAAGAACAACTTTTCATGATGACTATATAAGGGATGATGAGTTCGTAACTTCAGTTGCAGCTACAGCATTTGCTATTCATTCTCTAGAAGAAGCGGAATTACGTAACTTGCAAAAAATGAGAGAGAGCCCTAAATCTTCAAGGAGGACCCAAACTATGAGAAGTAAAGAGGATGACATGCCATTACCAAGGCAGCCAACTTATGGTAGTTATAACTTTTCCTAATAACGTTTAGATTAACATGCCTAACAATCTATGGTAAAGTTTCACTACTAGCTGTTAAGAAGAATGGCCATATTATGTGTATCAGGGGAAACTTCAAAGAAAAGGTCATTTGGACAAGACCTCAGGACCAAAGAAACTGCTTTTCCTGTTAGACGTCCAAGTGGTATATCACCTCCAAGGCCTGTAACCCCGGCACTTGGGTATCAGAAGCAGCAAGGGATTCCGTTACAACACAAAAATGTCAAAACCAGACCAGAAACTTGTGAAAAGGCCATGATAAAAAATATTCAAAAGCAGTAATGCTGATTGCTTGAGCAGTGGTTTTCTTTTCCTCTAAAATTATTATCTATTAGAGGAATTTTAGCGACACTTACTCTAATTCTCTTGCTAATACCTCTTTATTATTAGTTCATAATGACAAATTTTGGTGGATCCTGAGAGACTGGTTTATTAAATGAGATATAAGATCTAAAAAATTTGTAATTTTCAACTAATTTTGATCCATAATAACTGGAATGTTAGAAAATAGAATATTAGAGAGTGTCGTTAAATGGGAATCTAGATTAGTTTCCTCTCATCATTGTAGGCAAAAAATTTCAGGTATGAGAAGATGAAGTCCGAAATTCTTTCCTGGGAGTTTGTGAAAAAGATTCAGGCCAAAGCCCAGGTGGGAATGGAAGAAGGTTTTCCTCAATTCTTGGTGTTTTATTTTTTGTTTCAATTTTGTGAACGTAATCTCGTTGATACAGAGAGCAATGGAAGTGCAAAATTACCAGCATAAGATAGCAAGGGCAGATATGATGCCGCAAGGAGCTAGAGCAGGGTTAGAAGATAAAAGAATAAAAGAGTCTGAAGCGAGAAAGAAAGCAAACAAAAATGGAAAAACAAGCAAGGTCGTTGTTAAATGTTTGTGCTTCAATTCTTAACCAGATAGTGTTGGGAGTCAAGAGTCCAGCCTGGAAATAAAATAGCGCAAACTATTTATTTTCTGACCAAGCTTCGGAAATCCAACTACAACACATAAATGTGATTGACTTTATACAGATGAGATGACATCAAACCTCGCAGCTCAAACTGTTTTTATTGATAAATGATGCTGTTTAAATAAACGAAACGTGCACTAATATAACTGGTCATTAGAAGTTATAGCCTTTCAAGGGCATTCAAGTCATCACGTGCATTGTAATATGCTTTTTATTTATTTATTTTACCACCACTACGTGATATTACCACATTCCTATTCTTTCTACCTGCAATCTATGTTTACTTAAACAACCAAACTGGCTGGTTATTAAGAGGAGGTTTACGGGAGATTGCACGTATTCACAGATATTAATAAGAAGCATGCATTGTCCTTATAAAACTTTGGAACTTTTTATAAACTAGTACCACGAAATTTATTTGTTATTATTCTAATATTCTTTCGCTTAGAATTTGCCAATATACTAGTAATAATACCACCACATGGCAACATTTGACAAGAACTAGAAGAGCTCGTACATGATGTGACTTGCGAAGTTCACATGAATTACTGATTCAGAAATTGAAACAAAATCACTAATAGTCCCAAATCCCTTGAAATATTTAAATAAACCATCCCTTTTTACGAGAATAGTGTTACCATTATTATTACGAGTAAAAGAGAATGAGGAGAAATAATGATGATGAACGAGTGTGGTTACTTTAGAGAAGTTGTATTTATACATCATTTGTGGACAAATTTTTACATAATAAAATGAGATAGAAGAAAAGAGAGAAAAATGAATGATGGAATCATTAATACGATAGAGGGAGAGAAACAAAGAAAAAAGAATTATAAAAGTGTCCTAAAATTATGTTGAACGAATAATAACATAATTCTTTAATACCTAATTAGAATCTAAACAATTTCTTGTTCTTGTGAACTCTCCAGACTTTCTTTCCTCTTATGAATGGATTCCTTTTAAGTTGCATCGATTGCTCTTTTTCTTTACTTCTTATTCTTTCGATCACTTTGAATGAATAGGTCATGGACAGTATGGACAGGACTTAGGTGCTCTTTTATAGGTATGTTTTGTGTTATAGTAAAAACATGAGGTGTAATAAATAAATCACCAATGAAGATATAACGTGTAATGACAGTTACACTAGTCTTGTGGGGGAAAAAAAAGAAAAAGAAGACATTTTCACTCCTTTTAATCTCTGTTATTCTCAACTTCCGCAGAAAGATTTCCTCAAGATTGTAATCCAAGCAAGAGAAAGAAAGGACCAGAATGAAGCACAAGAAAGAATCAGAAACAAATACACAATTTTGCCACTCAACACAAACATAATGGTGTTAGCATAAGAGTTATCATATATCCACATAATTCAAAGCCGAAATGCTATATCATTAACAACTAACAACACACTCCACTGAAATCATCTCACTCCCCAAATCTTAATGATACCAAAGGAAAACAGTAAAACACAGGAAACACCATTAACAGCAATAGGCCAATAGCTATGTAAATCCAAGCCACAAACAATTGCAGTTTCACAATGGCCAAAGCTTAAGACCAAAGCCACTTCACAACCAAGTCTTCCTCCTTGTCATTTATGAATTATCACTCTATGACACAGTTATATGTATGTTGAAGTTGAATATGCAACAAGCCTTAGTTAACTCAACAAGGCGTGCTTACTTCCGCAGATGTGGCCTCTCTAGGAGAATCAAGAGATATCACAGTTTCAAATGCACCAACTAGAGCCTTGACCTTGCTCTTCCTTTGCTCAGCAAGCATGCTTGCGGTCTCTTCAATTACATTGTTATACAAACGTGGATTTTCTTTCTTCCCTTCCACATTTTGATGCCTCAAAACCACTTTCTCGGATCCTGATTTTGAACCCTCTATCTTGCTCCTATCTCCACCAACCTTCCTCCCAATACTCCTCCTTTTACTTCCTTCCACAATTTGGAGTTTGGCCACGGCTTTCTCTGATTTGGTATTTGCACCATTTACCTTACCACCACCAAATTTATTGTCCATAATGGTCCTTTTTCTAGCACCATTTATGTCTCTCCGCATGTCATCGCCTAGAATGCGTGCTGGCCTGAATTTGAGTCTCCTTGCAATGGTGTTGGTCTGAGGTTGAAGTTCTATCACTTTTCCTCTCTTAAAATTCAATTTCCGAGCTGCAACAACTTTATTAGCTGCCCCAACTTTTCTGCTCATTTTTTGCCTGATTTTGTAAACTATCCTCACATTTTCACCCTGATGATGATCATGTCCTATTCTGTTGGACTTATATGTAGCATTACTTCGTTTCTCAAGAGAAGAGTTGGATGAGGAAAAAGACGATGATAGTGATAGTGATCGTGGTCGTGATACACTATGCGTTTTGGGCAGCATATTTGACTTCCCTTTGTTGCCAGCCACTGATCTAAGGCCCTTCTTTGAAGATGCACATACCGCAGACTCGCCAGTTTTCTTATTGGTATGATTCAAGCTTTTGTCCCCTGATGATGATGATGAAGGTGAAGGTGAAGGTGAAGGTGAAGACAACTTAGTTGCATCACAAGTCACGGTAGAGTTCTCAGATGAATCTGCAGAGGCAGGTTCAATGACATGTAAAATTCTGTCTGGTGATTTGCCAGTGCTGGCTAGTTCAGGTTTGACTTCTTCAACATTCTCATGAAGTTTCAGAGAAGACTCTCTTGTCATGTTCTTGGTACTCTTGGAACTTAAGCTTGGAGGCTTCTTGACATTGTGTTTTGAAGAGAAGGGGAGACTTGGTTTCCTTGTTTGTTTGCTTCTGCTTTCAGTTTCCTTTATGCTTCTTGAACTACGAGTTTTGTTTTTCACTCTTTCACTTTTTGTTT